ATACAATGTATTGTTGGCTATTGCTACAAATATACCCCAGCGACTTAAGACTGCTTTTGTGCTGCAGGGTCACATATACGCTTAAAGCCACTTACAGTGCATTCAAGGTACATTTGATTAGTTCATGCATTCCCTGGATAATAAACCACAGAAATGCAGTTATAAAATACCATCGGGATGATCGGGTTAATTTAGTCTCTATATCTTTCGCTTCCCGTCACTGATTTATTTTCAGGCATCGTTGTGTCTCTGATCTCTTGTCATTTATTCAGTGCTGTCGGCTCTTATCTCTGACCTACAGATGGGGCTTTTTAAGGAAAATGAAACTTCTACTTCCTGTTTGCAGTGTACTGCTTTCTGATTGGCTGGTTTTAGGGATGAGGCAGGCCCAAAGCTTTTCTCTGCACGTCCTTATATGGTCATGAGTCTGAGACTGATGATTCTCACTCAAGATCACATGATCAGCTCACTCACTAACAACATGTTTAAAATGCCTTTAAAAGACCCTCACAAATATTTTACTACAGTAATTACTATCAAAAATGAGACATTTTATAGTAAATGACCATAATTACTACAGTAACTAGGAAAAAAGTAGATATTTTATAGTAAATGAGACATTTTAATGTTACAAAAGAGTTATATTTCAAATAAATACTCATTTAAAGACCCTAACAACTATTTACCATGGTTTCCACCAAAATACCACATTAATTACTATCCAAGAGAATTTACAACTAAATCTAAGCATTACATTACATACGCATTATAGTTTGAATAAATCTGTCATGAATACAATTTTTTAACAACAAACTGGATCAGAAACAGAATTATATTATTAAAAAAGGCTGATGTAAAAACTGTCATGTGTAATTTGAATGTTTATATAAAACTTAGTTTTTATGCGAGTTTAAATGTGATTAATATATTGATTAAATGAACTATTTTGGGTTTTGAATTTTGGCTCAAAATAGCAGGAAACAGTGTTTTCAGTGTGTTTAACTGCAGCAAGTGTCTTAAGAGGCGTCGAAGCAGCTCTTCATCACTGGTGGTCTGGTGTATCATTTATTGATTATAAGAGTGTTCTCTTTCTCAGATGAATGCAGTTAATGCAGGTGTTCTGACCTACACAGCCATATCTCAGTTCCTGCCAGGTACAGGTGTGTGTGTGTGTGCGTGTGTGTGTGAGAGAGTGAGTGCGTGTGAGAGTGAGTGCGTGTGCGAGAGTGTGTGTGTGTGTGTGTGAGAGTGAGTGCGTGTGTGTGTGCGTGTGAGTGAGTGAGTGAGTGTGTGAGAGTGAGTGCGTGTGAGAGAGTGCGTGTGCGAGAGTGTGTGTGTGTGTGTGAGAGTGTGAGTGTGAGAGTTAGTGCGTGTGTGTGTGTGAGAGTTAGTGCGTGTGTGTGTGCATGTGTGTGAGAGTTAGTGCGCGCGTGTGTGTGCGTGAGTGTGTGAGTGTGTGTGAGAGTGTGCGTGCGTGCGAGCGTGCGTGCGAGCGTGTGTGCGCGCGCGCGCGTGTGAGTGTGTGAGAGAGTGTGTGTGAGTGTGTGTGTGTGAGTGTGAGTGTGTACCTCACTGAGTTTGATCTGTCGTAGTTCCTCCTCAGCGGCCGTCAGTGGCAGAGGAGCTGATTGAGCCGTGACGTGCTTCTTATATCCGCTGAGAGAAACATCATCCTGCCACAGACAGACACATGATTTTCACTGTGATGTTCTTAAAACCTTAGGTGTATGTGATATATGTGTGTGTATACAGAGAGAGAGAGAGACTTGTTCAAAGTTCTAGGGTCAGTAAGATTTTTTTATAAAGAAATTAATACTTTTATTCATCAAGGATGCATTAAATTGTTCAAAAGTGCCAGTAAAGACATTTATAGCGTTACAAAAGATTTCCATTTCAAATAAACGCTGTTCTTTTGAACTTTTTATTCATCTGTGAATCCTGAAAAATAAAATGTATCAGTTTCCACAAAAATATTGTGCAGCACGACTACCTTCAACATTGATAATAATCAGAAATGTTTTCTTGAGCAGCAAATCAGCATATTATACTGAAGACAGTATACGTGTGACACTGAAGACTGGAGTAATGATGCTGAAAATACAGCTGCGCATCACAGAAATAAATTACAGTTTAACAGATATTCACATAGAAAACAGCTGTTTTACATTATAATAATATATTACATTTTTAATCAAACAAATGCAGCCTTAATAAGCAGAAGAGACCTCTCTCAAAAACATTAAACCATGTTATGGACCCCATGGTACTAAATTGCGGCTTCAGTTCACATCGGCATTGAACAAAACGAACCTTGACGGTGCCGAATATCTCATCTTTAATGTGTCCGAGGCCGAACTCCTTCCTGAGCGTGGCTCTGGTGGCAGCGTACAGCATTTTGTGGCGCACCTGTCAGAAAGAGCGACGGCAGATCGTGAGTTTCACATGAAAAGCAGCTCAAGCGCAAAACACGAGAGCAACACACAAACACACATGACTATAATCAACTTAGAAAAGAGATTAAAGTGATCAAGAGTCAGTCTTAACCGTCAAATATGGGCTTTTCTCTCAAAAATGTTCACAATTGTTTGTTGTTTTGTAAGTCGCTTTGGATACAAGCATCTGCTAAATGAATGAAAAGTATTGTAAAGGTAAAAAGAACAAAGTCAGACCCCTTTAAGTGACCAAAAATGTGTGGAAAAGAAACCATGCGTCTCTACACTCGCATTGTCTAATGTCCTAAGAGTGGGTTCAGATGTCATTGTGGTCAAAGACCAATATTTTACTACTTATTATTATTAATTATAAAATATTGTTATTAATTATACATATATCGATTTAGGTGTTAATTATGTATTTATCAATAATTTAATCATTATTATAAATCATGAATACTAAAATATATTTTCTAAATAACATTTTACATATAATCTTATATTATTAAATAAATATATATTATTTATTATTTCTAATACAATTTCTAATAATAATAATTATAATTGTTATTATAAATAATATTATTTATACATATTAATTTAGTTTGTAATAATTATTAGTTTATATTTATAAATCCTAAAATATTTTATAAGTAATATTTTTATATTATTGTAATACACACCTATATATTATTTGGTAAATATATTTAATTTCATAATATTTAAATTTTCTCATATCATTATTAGTAATATTATTATTTTTACAATTATGTTATTAATTAAGCATTTTCATTTTTAGTAATTATCAACCATTTATTTATTTATTTTTTGTTATAAATCATAACATATATTTATAACTTATATTTTATATATTTTTAAAATATTTTATATATATTGAATTATTTTCTTTCTTATAGTAATAATAATATATAAAAGTACTAAACATTGTGTCCTAAGAGAAGTCTAACAGATCAGTTTAGCTGTTTCCAGAAGAGCTGAAAGGATCAGGTAAAAGGGTAAGACAGGTCCCAGATCAGTGTTTATCCCCTCAACACACACAGACACGAGTGTTTAACGACGCTGGCGAGTCTGAACACGTATGAGAATAATGATAAGAATGTTCAGCTGTGACTGAACCGCCTAAAGATCTATGGAAGCAAAATAATGCCATATGTCTTTGAAACAAAAAAGCATGTTGAATAGCACTGACTGAAAAAAAAACAATGCATTGCATTAACAGTGCTTGCATTTTAATGCCTTGTATTTCCAGGGCTTGGAAACATATTAACATATTGTTTATTTAATTCAATTCAAAATATTTCACACACATTTTCATAATGAAAAATTCAATAATTCATATTCACTTCCAAAACATTCAATCTGTTTAAAAATACGATGTATAATATTCAACAGGCAAATTTCGGTCCATTTTATTTCACTTACATACACAACTTCCACAAATTCAAATTTAGTTTGTAATAATTATTAGTTTATATTTATAAATCCTAAAATATTTTATAAGTAATATTTTTATATTATTGTAATACACACCTATATATTATTTGGTAAATATATTTAATTTCATAATATTTAAATTTTCTCATATCATTATTAGTAATATTATTATTTTTACAATTATGTTATTAATTAAGCATTTTCATTTTTAGTAATTATCAACCATTTATTTATTTATTTTTTGTTATAAATCATAACATATATTTATAACTTATATTTTATATATTTTTAAAATATTTTATATATATTGAATTATTTTCTTTCTTATAGTAATAATAATATATAAAAGTACTAAACATTGTGTCCTAAGAGAAGTCTAACAGATCAGTTTAGCTGTTTCCAGAAGAGCTGAAAGGATCAGGTAAAAGGGTAAGACAGGTCCCAGATCAGTGTTTATCCCCTCAACACACACAGACACGAGTGTTTAACGACGCTGGCGAGTCTGAACACGTATGAGAATAATGATAAGAATGTTCAGCTGTGACTGAACCGCCTAAAGATCTATGGAAGCAAAATAATGCCATATGTCTTTGAAACAAAAAAGCATGTTGAATAGCACTGACTGAAAAAAAAACAATGCATTGCATTAACAGTGCTTGCATTTTAATGCCTTGTATTTCCAGGGCTTGGAAACATATTAACATATTGTTTATTTAATTCAATTCAAAATATTTCACACACATTTTCATAATGAAAAATTCAATAATTCATATTCACTTCCAAAACATTCAATCTGTTTAAAAATACGATGTATAATATTCAACAGGCAAATTTCGGTCCATTTTATTTCACTTACATACACAAGGCATTAAAATGCAAGCACTGTTAATGCAATGCATTGGTTTTTATTTCAGTTAGCGCTATTCAACATGCTTTTTTGTTTCAAAGACGTTTGGCATTATTTTGCTTCCATAAAGACCAGTTTATATTCTCCAGTTCTGCTGCGTTCAAGAAACAAACGGTGATCTGAAGGAGCTTTAAGATCTAGCTAGGGGTGTGCGATATATATCGTCATCGTTGTTTTAACCATGTGTGATTTGGCATAATCGAGTATTTTGCAAAAAACAAAACAAAAACAGTGCGAGCGTGTTCTTTCACTGCATGATTCAGTCTATTAAAATACATTAAGAATGATCAGAAAACTCAAAAAATTTATACATTTATATAATTTCATATAGTTATCACACGAAGAGTGCCGATTTTTTCAAAAATAAGCATGATTACAAATGTGATTTAGATTTTATACAACTGTTCAATAAACAAGTTAATATCAAGAGACTTACGTGTTAGACACTATATTGTCTGTTTTGCGCTATTTCTCCAACAGAAATAATTCCAAACACAGCCACGGCACTGTTTTGTGTCTCTGAGCAACGTGACGGTGATTCGTTCCGAATTCCGAATGATTCGGTTCAATCGCAATGACTCACTTATTAACAGTGACTCGCTGCCACCTACTGGCGGTTTTAATTTCACATTTAAAGTTTATTTTAATTATTTAAATAATTTCGAATAACAGCATGCAACGTTTTATGTTTGTTTAATATATCAAAACATTATTTATGCATTCGTAACTGCAGGTTAAATGCATTCATGTCCTGCATTAAACAGTAGTGTGTAAGTGCATCTAAATGCCACTTCAGATGCAGCTTCAGCGAAGATTAATTGCTTGGTAACAGCCCAAATGTCTTATTATTCTAATTCACTGATTAAATGTAAGAATTTGACTGTGAAAAAAAAAGGCTTTATTAAAGGTAAAAAATGCCCATAAAAGGTAAAAATCAATTTAAACTTAAGGAAAAGATTCATTTCTATCACTGATGTGAACTGAGCACCACACAGAATATGCAGAATATCAAAAACTCCGCACAATAACACACTCGGCAATATATCGTCTAGTTATCGTTATCGAAAGATCCCCAGAAAACATCGAGATGTCATTTTTTGATCTAGAGGAGGATCCTGACTGGTGTCTTACAGGTGAGTGGTCAGGTGACCAGGCGATGAAGATCCACTCGTGTCCCAGGCTGTTGGTGGAGTCCAGGCGGTACAGGATATAACAGGGCAGCTCTTTATCCAGCGCAGGAAGCACAAGAGCATCATAGTCTTCCTCCCAGCTGCGAGCGGCCGATTTGGTGAAGCCTAAAACCAGCTCCTCTGAAACCACATCCACCCCAATCACTCATTCTGTGTGTCATGCACATCTGGGCCCTTATTCACAAAACATTTCATCTCACCACTAAGAGTGCTCCTAAACACCAGCAAAGAGTTTTCTCTCTAAACCTATTCACAAAGCTGCTGAGACAAACTTGTACTAAGGAATAGACAGACTCAGAGTAAGGGGGCGGGGTTAACTTCATTGCTATGGATGATGTCAGCGTGCTTATTAACTATGCACACAGTGATTGGCTGATAGTCTCTGTCGGAGATTTATTCATAGAAATATTGTAGAGTGCGATATTATGTTGCCTAAGAGTCACTAATTAAACAAGTATGTGTTCGGCTAATTATCAGCCTCTTGCATGTGAGCTTCTCGTAAACAATTAGTGAATACTAGTGCTGCCAAACGATTAATCGCGATTAATCGCATTCAAAATAAAAGCTTTTGTTTACATAATACATGTGTGTGTGTACTGTGTATATTTATTACGTATATATATATATATATATATGCACACACATACATGCATATATTTCCGAAAAAATAAAACAAGGATATAATCAAAGGAAAATCTGGAGTTGGGATAACCTTCAAAATCAAAGGCGATACCTTTTTAAAAGCTCATTATTGTCAGATATTTCTAAAATGTTGATTAGGGATGTAACGGTATGAAAATTTCTTATCACGGTTATAGTGACTAAAATGATCACGGTTATCATTATTATCACGGTATTGTTCATTATGCTCCGAGGCAGATTGCTGTCCACAGCTATTTTAGGATAGTTTGTGGTTTGATCTTAGAAGTCCTCTTTAATAATCCTAACCTTTCACAGATTTAGGAGCTAGTTTTAGCGCTAAAACACTTCGCGAAATACAATTATGAGTCCTAAATCTAGGACCGACGCTCATTATTTGTAAGATTTTCTCCTAAATCGGCGATTTATGAGCTACTTTTAGCTTTAAGATGTGTTGTGAATACGGGCCCCGATTTGTTTTGTTTGTAAATGATCGTGCGTGCGGTTTTTACCGTTTTCGATCACGATCTTCACGAGTCTGTACTCTCCGTTCCTGGCGTTGCCAAAAACATCCTTCACCTCGTCAGCAGCTGGAAGACAAACCAACAAACAAACGTGTGAACTACAAGCAAATATAACACCAGACGCTGAGTATAATCAGGCTAATTGAGGTGTAAAGCATCAGAGTCAACAGCGCCTGACTCTTACCGTGTTTCTGATGATATACACACACAATATCACAGCAAACCTCTTTATCATCTCTATTAAAACACAGTGTGTAGAGAGCTATTATTATTATTTTGATGACCGCAGTCAGAAACCGAGAATACAGGAAGTTCATATTTAGATTTTAGGTTCTAACTGTCGTTATCATCTAGCATGAGTATAAAATCTCATATATTAATATTAGTTTTCATAGTTTTCTGATGCTCTGACTGGTTACAATTTTATATAAACTGCATATAATAACAACAACAATAATAATAATGGAAGCAGTGTTATTTTAGTCGTTTAAGGAATTTTGTTGTGCATTTTTTCTTCAAAAATAAAATATACATAAATAAATAAACTATATATCAATTCATACACAGTGATATCGCTCTCTACATGTAGAGCCATTCATTACAACGCTGCTATATATATATATGAACATATAGCTCTGAGATATTACAGTATGCTGGGATTATTATGGGATGCATGTGGCGCGCGATGAAGGCGTTGCCCGCGCTCGTGATTGAGAAGCACAACTCTGGCCATTACAAAACACTGATGCGATCAATCATGAAGATGATTTTAATCATAAACCTCAGGTCTGAGGGAGTGAAATCACTGCCGACAGACGCGCTCGATTCACAGCTTCATTTGTCTTCTAAATGCAGCATCTCGGCGCTATGCGAGTTTCGCGCCGCTCGCTCATCCTCACCACACAGATCCTGATGTATAAATCATAAGAATATTTGCTCTCTACATGTAGAGCCATTCATTACAACGCTGCTATATATATATGAACATATAGCTGTGAGATATTACAGTATGCTGGGATTATTATGGGATGCATGTGGCGCGCGATGAAGGCGTTGCCCGCGCTCGTGATTGAGAAGCACAACTCTGGCCATTACAAAACACTGATGCGATCAATCATGAAGATGATTTTAATCATAAACCTCAGGTCTGAGGGAGTGAAATCACTGCCGACAGACGCGCTCGATTCACAGCTTCATTTGTCTTCTAAATGCAGCATCTCGGCGCTATACGAGTTTCGCGCCGCTCGCTCATCCTCACCACACAGATCCTGATGTATAAATCATAAGAATATTTCGCTCTTACCCTGAATACCCGTCTGATGAGACATTATTTCACTCGGCGGAGGATGTTTGGAGACTCTCGATCCCGGAAGAAGGAAGCGGGGCGGCGGTGACGTCACGTGCCTCTGACGCGTCTCCCCTCCCTCCGCACTGCGCATGCGCGGACATCAAACAACCTAATATACAACCTAACAACATCTTCATCCTCTATTACATTTAGGGTGTGTGTGTGTGTGTGTAAGAATCCAAATCTTACACCTTTAGATATACAGTGGGGAAAATATTTATTTGATCCCCTGCTGATTTTTTGCCCACTTACAAATAAATTAAGGGTTTGTAATTTTTATGGTAGGTTTATTTTAACGGATATAAACAGAATATCTAGAAATTGATTTGCATTTAAGTGAGTGAAATAAGTATTTGATCCTCTACCAACCAGCAAGAATTCTCCCACAGACTGGTTATGTGCCCATGTGGAACACAGATTAGTCCTGCCACTTTAAGAAGTTACTCCTAATGTCAGCTCGTTAGGTGTTTAAGACACACAACTGTTGGTGCGATTATTCGGAAATGGAAGAAATACAAAAATAGCCATCAATCGGCCTTGGTGTGGAGCTCCGTGTAAGATCTCGCCTCATGGGGTAAGGGTGATCATGAGAAAGGTGAGGGATCAGTCCCAAACTACACGGGAGGAGCTTGTTAATGATCTTAAGGCAGGTACGTTCAAATAAACCTACCATAACAATTACAGACCCTTCATTTCTTTGTAAGTGGGCAAACTTACAAAATCAGCAGGGGATCAAATAAATATTTTCCCCACTGTATAGGCAAACTATATATTTTTGTTCTCCTATCTTAATAGTTTCTTTATATTCTTCATTTGCGATGCATAAAGTCTTTATAACATCTCTTCCTCTAAAACAAAAACTGAGGGTTTTATGGGTTTACAAGATTTTCTGTCGCCTTTTTTTAAATAACTTTTTTAATCAATTAGCAGAAGTTCAAAGGTTGAACATTAATATATGCCTGCAGTAAAATAATGTGTTCATGTTGCATAATTGATCAATTATGAAACAAATTAAATTTCAGCTGTAAAGCAGCTCTACAGAAGACAATAGTTTCAGATCAATTCAGTTCAAGTTTTTGTACAGTCAGATCAATACTGTTTATAATAATAATAATAATATGTTTTTTGTATCTTTGTGGGTGGTTGATGTGCATAATGTGTATGAATATTGTTTTAATTTCTAATGTATAAGGTTTTGTTGACATGCTGGCTACTGAGTCCATCACAAATTTCCCCTTTGGGGACAATAAAGTACATTTAATTTCATTTAAAAATACAATCTATAAAAATATCAAACAACAGATATTTATAATACTAAAATAACATAATCAGATGTAACCTAATTATTTTATTTTATGAAAACATCCCAATATTATTGAGAGATACACACACACACACACACACACACACAGAGAGAGAGAGAGAGAGAGAGAGAGAGAGAGAGAGAGAGAGAGAGAGAGAGAGAGAGAGAGAGAGAGAGAGAGAGAGAGAGAGAGAGAGAGAGAGAGAGAGAGAGAGAGAGAGAGAGAGAGAGAGAGAGAGAGAGAGAGAGAGAGAGAGAGAGAGAGAGAGAGAGAGAGAGAGAGAGAGAGAGAGAGAGAGAGAGAGAGAGAGAGAGAGAGAGAGAGAGAGAGAGAGAGAGAGAGAGAGAGAGAGAGAGAGAGAGAGAGAGAGAGAGAGAGAGAGAGAGAGAGAGAGAGAGAGAGAGAGAGAGAGAGAGAGAGAGAGAGAGAGAGAGAGAGAGAGAGAGAGAGAGAGAGAGAGAGAGAGAGAGAGAGAGAGAGAGAGAGAGAGAGAGAGAGAGAGAGAGAGAGAGAGAGAGAGAGAGAGAGAGAGAGAGAGAGAGAGAGAGAGAGAGAGAGAGAGAGAGAGAGAGAGAGAGAGAGAGAGAGAGAGAGAGAGAGAGAGAGAGAGAGAGAGAGAGAGAGAGAGAGAGAGAGAGAGAGAGAGAGAGAGAGAGAGAGAGAGAGAGAGAGAGAGAGAGAGAGAGAGAGAGAGAGAGAGAGAGAGAGAGAGAGAGAGAGAGAGAGAGAGAGAGAGAGAGAGAGAGAGAGAGAGAGAGAGAGAGAGAGAGAGAGAGAGAGAGAGAGAGAGAGAGAGAGAGAGAGAGAGAGAGAGAGAGAGAGAGAGAGAGAGAGAGAGAGAGAGAGAGAGAGAGAGAGAGAGAGAGAGAGAGAGAGAGAGAGAGAGAGAGAGAGAGAGAGAGAGAGAGAGAGAGAGAGAGAGAGAGAGAGAGAGAGAGAGAGAGAGAGAGAGAGAGAGAGAGAGAGAGAGAGAGAGAGAGAGAGAGAGAGAGAGAGAGAGAGAGAGAGAGAGAGAGAGAGAGAGAGAGAGAGAGAGAGAGAGAGAGAGAGAGAGAGAGAGAGAGAGAGAGAGAGAGAGAGAGAGAGAGAGAGAGAGAGAGAGAGAGAGAGAGAGAGAGAGAGAGAGAGAGAGAGAGAGAGAGAGAGAGAGAGAGAGAGAGAGAGAGAGAGAGAGAGAGAGAGAGAGAGAGAGAGAGAGAGAGAGAGAGAGAGAGAGAGAGAGAGAGAGAGAGAGAGAGAGAGAGAGAGAGAGAGAGAGAGAGAGAGAGAGAGAGAGAGAGAGAGAGAGAGAGAGAGAGAGAGAGAGAGAGAGAGAGAGAGAGAGAGAGAGAGAGAGAGAGAGAGAGAGAGAGAGAGAGAGAGAGAGAGAGAGAGAGAGAGAGAGAGAGAGAGAGAGAGAGAGAGAGAGAGAGAGAGAGAGAGAGAGAGAGAGAGAGAGAGAGAGAGAGAGAGAGAGAGAGAGAGAGAGAGAGAGAGAGAGAGAGAGAGAGAGAGAGAGAGAGAGAGAGAGAGAGAGAGAGAGAGAGAGAGAGAGAGAGAGAGAGAGAGAGAGAGAGAGAGAGAGAGAGAGAGAGAGAGAGAGAGAGAGAGAGAGAGAGAGAGAGAGAGAGAGAGAGAGAGAGAGAGAGAGAGAGAGAGAGAGAGAGAGAGAGAGAGAGAGAGAGAGAGAGAGAGAGAGAGAGAGAGAGAGAGAGAGAGAGAGAGAGAGAGAGAGAGAGAGAGAGAGAGAGAGAGAGAGAGAGAGAGAGAGAGAGAGAGAGAGAGAGAGAGAGAGAGAGAGAGAGAGAGAGAGAGAGATACACACACACACACAGAGAGAGAGACACACACACACACACACACACACAGAGAGAGAGAGATACATACACACACACACACACACACACAGAGAGAGAGAGAGACACACACA